TTTTAATTTTTATAATTATATAGGCCCAGAAAGTTGGACATTTCGATCCCGTGACAAATATTATACTTTTAGTTTTTCAACATCTCTTAGGACTTTAATAGAATTCTTATATGTGTTACCTGGTTTTCTAGTTGAAGATCCAGATTCTTCTTTAAGTGCTGATCAAGTTTTTATATATTATACGAATCTTACAAGATATCCAAAATATCTTACTCATCTTAAACATGAAGGAGGAATGAAGGATAAGGATCCTCCTAAATCACGTGTACGAGTTCAATGGCGATTGTATTTATATTTACAACGATATGGTAATCCTGCTGGAGGAAATATTCGAAGAGGCGGCATTGGAGGAAATAATCAAAAATATTATTGCAACGATAAACGTATTACTTGCAATTTAATCTTTGGCAAGTTTACAAGCTTTTGGGGTATATATCATATCATCGATATGGTACTTCAATCGGACATATTATGGTTTTTTGTTTTTTTCTTATTTAATCGGCTGAAAACAACATTAGGTTATATATTTATATTGCCCTGCATAATGCTTACGCTTCGATTATATAGATTTCATTTTAAACGTAGCAAAAGGTTTTTTTCGATATGTATAAGGCGGTCGAAGAGAAAATGGTGCCGAAAGACGAATGTGATTGCGAACATATACATGTAATAGCGCAAACGAAAACCATCTTGTATCCGAATCATAATTCTTGCTCTAGCGGTCAACATCATAAGTCTCCATTAGAATATTAACACAGAGAATGGGTGTGGATGTAGATGTGCGTGTGCGTGTGCGTAAATCAATGCTAAACCGATCGACTCATATTTTTAGAATATAAATCAATCTGCAAGTGCCAATTTTTGGGTGTGGGTGTAGGGAAGGGTGCGGGTTACAAAACAAATGTACACCCACACCCTACTTCTTTAACTACTTCAATTATCTCTGGTTATAAGAATGAAGCTATATCATTCTCTGGTTCATCAACTTCTTATTTCCAAGCTTTGGGTTTTACTTCACTTGGTGTCAATAATCAAGCATTTTCTATTTCATTTTGGATTAAACCTCAAACATTATCAGGTACAGTTGTTCATTTATCATCATCTCCATCAGGCAATGGATCTACATGTTTTTCATTATTGGGTTTTGCTTCAAATGGAACACTAAATGCACAACTCTTAACAAATAATGGCACAATTGTAACAACTGTCGGTCCTATTTTACCAGTGTCTTTATTGTGGATTCTAGTTGTTCAAATATGGAGTACAACGAATGGACTAAAATTATATGTGAACAATACACTCTTTAGTTCTATAGCAGCTTCAACATTTAAAGGAAGTGAAATAACACCGAACTACTTAACATTGACTAATTGTTTAACTGGTTGTGGTGTATGTTCAAATGGACTAATTGCTTCGCCAGGATTATTTGCAGGTGCGATTGATGATTGGCGTATTTATTATCGTTAACTCACTTCTATAGATGTGTGTACTCTCTTTTCTGCTACTTGATTTCATCAAAGATTTGTTTGTGTTTTGTTCGTTACAATGTTTACCAACGTTTGATTGACCACGACTTTGTTTTTATTCTGTTATTTTCGATAACAAATATTGTTCTATAATGTCTATAGCAAGCAGTTTCCTTGTAACAGCGATAAGCTTTTTAGTTGATGAATAAAAGATAGTTAATATTTTGTATCTGTCATTTAATTTCGAAAAAGAACTATGTGTCAGAGAGGTACCGTTAGGTTTCGAGAGAAATTCTCGATTCCTGACGGAATCTTAGCGGAGTTTTTTGGTCAGGATGACAACCAACGGTTGACAAATGATTTTTCTACTTACATCGAGTCCATGACGCAAATGATTTACAAAGTAATTCAAAATCAATGAACTTTTGAATAGTATAGGTTCTATTAGTTTCTACCAGGGATTACTAGGGATCGAACAAAACATGGAGATCCCTGATAATATCTTATAAGACGTGAAATACCTGGTAGAAACTAATAGAAACTGAATTATTTTGTAATTCACTGTTTTTGAAGTACTTTATAATTCATTTACGTCATCTAGTGCTTACATCCGATTACTGGGCATAAATGATTCTTGTCGAAAGTACATTGTCGAAAACGACCAAGTCAGCTGGGTGAAACCGGTCGATTTTTATACCATTTCACATGTTACGTGCTAGGAATTACTTAGGGTATACCAAAAGTTCTGATCACAGTTTTTAAAATTTAATAAAGCAATAAATATTGAATATTTTACTAAGGCAATATATAGTATAACGTCTCGTCTTTAATAATATATAGA